TGTACAAGTATAATCCCAAGGAACTATGAAGACATAACAAACCTTTTAGTTGCTACGTTCATTTTATGTAACCCGTTAAACACATAGAACTCAAGCAAATGCAAATGATTGGTTATCTATTAGTAAGGAAGAAGTCCATATTGTGGGACCATGTTGATTTTATATAGTTCCTTATTACAAAATATTTGGTGGCGACTGAAAGAAAATATATCGTGCTTTCTTGTTCACAGCATGGAAATATCGTATAATGCTATAAAAGCCTTGCAAAGATCGCTTATAATCAAGTTGAAGTCTTAGAAGATTTTTTTTCCGAATCTCTCACCATGATAATACTAACCTGGGAAAAAATTCAAAAGACTTTCCTAATATGAAAAACGGAATATAGAATTGCAGTATTAGTGAATGCAAAATTAAATCATTACGCGTTTCCTGGATACCTGCAGACATTGGTTCCATTAAGTACCTAGCAGACAAGTAAGGGGATGAGTTCTTAATAGAACTAAACAAACTGTCTTAGATTATGAATCGCATTTTCAATAATACCTTTTAGTACAACAAATCGTAAAAAACACATAAAGTCAAATGGTTATCACTGTTCGTAGGGGTTATTTTAGCGTGTGTTTAATATTTGTTCATGATTATAGATTATATTGATCAGATATCAACAACATAATACATAGTTTGTTCCGTTTGACAAACCTGCACATTCCAGATTATTGGAACTTAAATATTGTTAAGGCTGGCTATTCATTCGGAACACTACTGCATTGCCTTTTGAACTATCTTTGGTTTGAATTTGGGATATAATATGTATGACTATGTGTGGGATTTAATTCACTGTGCTGTAAATTCCTCTTAATTTTAATTTTATAACTTAGACATTTAAATTATTCGTCGATTTTTACTAAACGTGTGTTTATTTGTTTTAGTTTAAGACCTTAGAGACGTAATGTAATTAAATTGATACGTGTTAATCACTGAATATTGTTTGATTTTTTTTTCTAGACAAATAAATGTGCGTGATTATAATAAATATTTCATGCATTATTCTGATAATGAATATCTTTGAATAATTCTTTTGTCAATTCCCCTGATTTCTGAATTTCTGCTTTTGTGTACTGGATTTATTAGTTGTCTCAAATTCACACGTAGTACACGTGATATGAGCAGGGAGCGACTCACCTTTAATCAACTGCACATTTGTTTCTGTTCTGCCATTGATTATTTGGAATGATAATGTGAGAAATGTATATGACATTTTTCAATTTAAATTATCATAAAAGACACTGTGGAATATTACGTTTCTTTTAATTTTGAGTGAATAAAGGAGATTGTGATTGCAGTTCGAATTGTTTTCGAAATTACAGTTCGATATCGCGATGTGTGATCAAGTTTTAGAACCCATGATATAGCTAATGTAATTCTGAGTTGCAGAACTAAGACAATACAATTTAAGGAAATCCAAGATGCAAAAAGGTAAGTATAATTTTGCCATTCTTATACCAACTAAAACAGATATGTGTATGCCTTGTCAATTGTGTGTTCTTTGTAGGGACCCCAGTTCTGTTATTACCTCTACTATATTATGGCTTTAATCGCTAACCTAAATCCGAAACATTGTATCAAAAAGTTAACGTGGACAATTGCAAAGCGGCTGGTGTGTGACAGTCCATTCAGCAAAAGGAAACGAGAAACCTACTGTTTTACCAAAACCATCAGTTTTAATTTTTCTCGAATTCAGTACTTTGGCTTATAAAATAGTACGTCTCTGATAGATCTGCGATAGCCCTTTGCCTCAATATGTTTGTCATTTAAATATGTCAAAGGATTCAATGATTTCAATTGTACCTTTCCCACACAATGAGATTATAGATACTACACTTGTGAAAAAGTATCTTAACAGGACGAATCCTCTCAAGCGGGAATGTTTGAATGTTTGAAACAGGAAATTCAGAATTTTCTGCGAAATGATTTTTATAGAACCAAGTAAACTCAACTGCTGCTCACCATATATTATTGTGCATAAACCATCGATAGGGTTGTTCAGCCGACCACCTCGTGTGAAGTCACGAATCACTATCTCATACCCATTGCCGTGGACCTCGTGTGAAGTCACAAATCACTACCTCATACCCATTGCCGTCGACCTCATGTGAAGTTACAAATCACTACCTCATACCCATTGCCGTGGACTTCGTGTGAAGTCATGAATCACTACCTCATACCCATTGCCGTAGACCTCGTGTGAAGTCACGAATCACTACCTCATACCCATTGCCGTGGACCTCGTGTGAAGACACGAATCACTACCACATACCCATTGCCGTCGACCTCGTGTGAAGTCACGAATCACTACCTCATACCCATTGCCTTCGACCTCGTGTGAAGTCACTACCTCATACCTAAAAATATAATGTAGCCGCAGCTTCGGACAAAGATTACCAAAAATTACAATATGGCGGCTCAGTACCATTACGTTTCACTAAAATGATGTTTTTGGTGAAAAATTACCCTATATTTTGATAGAAAATCATTCAATGGTGCTGCTAAAACGATGGTTACCATGCAGAGATCTCAGCAACAGAGGAAATCTAAGCGATTTGATAAAAGGCGATGTAAAATTCAGTGTGTATATACTACATGCATTCGATGCTTCCAATTAGAACGGTTACGTAGAACGTGCTTCATTCCTATATAATGTCTGAAATATATATTTCTTCCTTAATGGGAAGAAAATTACAAACTACTTTGCAAATGGCACCGAAACACGTACGGCCGAAATAGCCAGATTTAATGAAACTGAAGAAATCTTAAACTATCGTAAACAAACTCAAAAGAGAAATTATGATCGTCGACATGGCGCCCGAAATATGAAAAGAACTTAAGATAGGGAATAAAGTATTGATTTAATATGAAGCATCTACACCTTGTTCATGCATGTAATAACTGATGAGGGAGAGATATGGCGTAATAGGAGAAATTTAATTCCCATGCCTACTACATTATCGGAGTCTCTTAGTGACTGTTTCAAACCCTGATACTTTGATTGACCCAGATGAAAGAAAAGCAGTGCTAACCAGTCAAAACGGAAATTTTATACGTTTGGGAAAACCACCTGAGAGACTGAATGTGTAAAAATGGAACAAATGTAGTTTGTTTAGAAATATAGTCAGATCATTTTTCTCAGGCTTGTAAAGGTAGTGTAAGCCTTAATTTAAGTAGCTTTGAAATATTACTTGACAGTAATAGTAATTTGATATACACAAACAGCTGGTTGATGCTATTCATTCACTAGGGTTTATGTTCCATGGGAAAAATACTTTTAGAGCAGTCTTTACTCCCTATCCTAATAAATAGTATAGAACGCCTTCTGCGGTTATTCTTCAGCAACAAAATCCATTACATGGACTTGTTGAAATGAAATGTCCACGGTGTCTTCAAGAAAAGGATGTTAGGAAGTTTGATGAACAAGTATCCAAGAAGCAACAAAGTGGATTCTATCTACAAAGATCCAATGGGCATATTGATTTAAGAAACAATCACACACATTACTTTCAAATTCAAACACAACTTGGTATAATGGGACTTAAATTGTGTGACCTTGTGGTGTTTATGTGACCTTGTGGTGTGGTTTGATTTACATTTTGAGCAAATAAGAGTACAATTTGATCCAGATTTTGGGGGATCACTTTGAAAAAAAAAAATCTAATTTCATTCCATGACAAATTCTCCAGATTAAAGTACACTTTCCTTGTCAGAAATGGGTCTTTCAAAAAATTGCTTACATACTTTATTGCGCCAATAGGGGCAACTTATCTGAGTACTTTGTAAGTTGAATAAGCTTTATATCTGAAATAGAGTTTTCCTTGTCGTTAAAATTTGCTTGACCGCGGAACAAACAAGTCCGTGCGTTTAATTAAGCATATTCTTGTATTTTTTAAACAATCTAGGCCTTTTTCATTCACACGGCATCTCTCTGCAAACATGAAATCCTTCAAGGGTAAAGATTAGCTGTACAAAACCTGGACCCATGTTATTATAATATTTGACACAGTAACCTTTCTGACACCAAATTTATAAGCAAGGTCCTGATTAACAATCCCAAATTTAAGACGCATTAATGTCATTAGTAATGCATTTTTGGGGTGATAGGCGACAATTTACACCAGAAATGACTTTCGATTTGCTGCCTTTGCTGTACCAATATTTCAAATGTTCGATAGCAGAGCTTATAAAGATCCACAATATCGCGAACTGGTCTCATAACCAGCCTGTATAAAATTTACATTTCTGATCATCAGATTCAATTTTTGATATGTCCAAGTGGGTATGGCAAATATACTGCTGTATTTTTTCGGGTAATTTCTATTTCTCTATTTGATGCACTTTGTTGTAGCAAATGAAGCTCCGATTTCAGCAACTTGATCTCCTTTACTAACAACTTGTTCTATAATATTAAACTAACATCATTCTTTTCCTTTGATATCATTGTCTGGCATCCAACATTCAGTGTGTATGGCATTTCACTCACAATGAGTCACATGTGCTGTCTTTGTCATAAGAGGACGTCATAAGTAGGATGGTATCCAGTTGTCTTTGAGAGTCAACGTCTTCAATAGGCATCCCTGGGCTACAAGCCAAATCAAACATCCTGTGTGTCCAATTTCAGCAGCTTCTTAGTCGAACTATTTATGTGTGTGTGTGGTGTGTGTGTGTGTGTGTGTGTGTGTGTGTGTGTGTGTGTGTGTGTGTGTTGTGTGTGTGTGTGTGTAGTTTAGATTTTTAACGTAGTCTTAGTTATTTTTCAGTCATATTGCTACGATCTCTGCAATGAGACAGTATATAGTGATGTCTAGCACTGGATCATAATGCCGCAAACATGTGGCATGATGTCCCAGTCACATTATCCTGACACCAGGTTGACCAGTCCTGACACTAACCTCTTAATGCTGAGCGCCAAGCAAGGCACCTGCTAGTACCATTTTTTGTAAGTCTTTGGTATGACTCAGCCGGGGTTCGAACCCACGACCTCCCGCATCCGATACGAACGTTCTAACCATTGGGCCAACGAAGCGGTCACGAAGAACTACTTCTCTCTCTCTCTCTCTCTCTCTCTCTCTCTCTCTCTCTCTCTCTCTCTCTCTCTCTCTCTCTCTCTCTCTCTCTCTCTCTCTCTCTCTCTCTCTCTCTCTCTCTCTCTCTGGTTGTCTTTCATTTCTAGCAGAAACGTCGAATCTGTAAATAGAAACAAATCTGTAAGAGAAAGAATGGGATGAAACATGGGAGATGGTGGGTGGTGCATGCAGAGGGCACGTTTTTGTATACTAAACCTTATTGTGAAGCATACATACACACACACGCACACAAATCAGTATAAATAGAATAATGCATGTGATAATCCTGCTGCACTCGGCTATTACATCATTATAACTACAAAGTTTTGTGAATTCCATGAGGCAATTAAGGTGGAGTCAAAATGATGGTAAGAAAAATGAATGGACAGATGGAAACATAGTCGGTTATCACAATTTTTCTTTTATTAGCTGGGTCAATTCAGAATGTAATTATGTACATGTCAAAATGTTCCAATTATACATAGTTAAACAAATGATGTAAATAGTATACATACTAGAATACACCCACACCCCCACATTGCAGGTTGAATGTATCACAGGACAAACATCTTAATAACACATTCATATTCACATGCAGAGTTTCATTATCACACATTTATTTATTACACCTTTCCAAGGAAACGGTATGTGCAGTAGATTTGGTATGTAGTACCGACATGTATACATACATAAAACATTCCTGTATAGGCGTTAAAGTCGCAGGCATAGGGTCGGGATGCTGATCTCTGGGTCCATTCCCACCAACGAAGTGAAGAGCACAAAGAAAAGTGTCCTTTGTGACCTTTTCAATGTATAAGTTTTCTCTCCCGCAAGCTCTAACCCATCGACACCACAGAATTGGAAGTACAAAATATGTCTCCAAGTGTTGCTTGTTTAATGGTTTCTGGCGAATTACAGCCCCAGTTGGACTCTACAAAAAAGTCATGCCATCGGTATGAGAATGTCCCTCAAGATTCCAGCGAATAATGAACATGATGTAACATTTGCTATAGATGGCTGTGATGCATACATCGATGATGTCATCATATACAATGATATCTGAAAAGATAACATGGAATCTATCCTGAAATTCGTCATTTATCTGGGTGAGGCAAATTTGAAAATTAATTTAAGTAAAAGTGAGTTTTGCAGAGCTTGTGTCACATTTTAGGATTTTTCCATTATTGCTGAGCCTTGACCAATTTATTGAGCAAGTTTTATTGGTTTCACAAAGGTCAGGACGCGTTCGATAACTAAAGGCCATGCTTAAAAGTGCACCAGTTCCTTCAGTTCCAGATTTCAACCAGTTGTTTAATGTTTGTTGATGCAAGTGGTGTTGGGGATGAAGAGTATAACACTTTGATGTGTAAGTTAATTCACCTCCTTCTCCAATTATTGCATTTAGTGATCACTAACCCCACACTTTCATCAACATAATGAACAATACAAATCAGAGATTGTTGGGATTTAGTTAGTTGTTGCAAGAATACAATCGACATTCAGCACATCAAGGCAAAAGACAATTTAATGTCAGATGCACGTTCACGTGCACAGGAGTTCTTTATTGTTTTTCGGAAAACATTTTTGTATATTCAGCATAAACATCATAGGTATCCATAGTAGTGTAGGAAATGTCACTTTTGACACGAATACAGATAAGACAAGAGCTTTTATACTTTTTTCAGGACACATTTAGTGTCATCTTTCAATGTGAACAACTCGAGAGACAAAAATACATCAAAGCCAAATGGTTAAGTGAATAAAAGACACATCAAAACGATCATAGTTGAATATAAACAAGTCTCTGTAAATATTGTCGGTGACCAAGATGTGGTGTCCTAGGGACAGTGTATAATGGTCTTAGTCTCCATATTCCTTGGCACAATCACACCGGAGTAGTCCCGGAAATGCTTTTTCGGGGATGTAGATGACTACCTAGCGTGAAGGGAGATGTTTTACTCGGTGACGGATTGTTCTTCAAATAATATCCCTAATATAGGTTAAAAAGATACATTTTCACTGAACATTTGAAGCGAGGATCACATATCTTAGGCATAGTGTACCACTTCTTTAGTCCAAGCCTCGAATCCTAACTTCTCCAGTCACATACATCTCTCCAGTGAGGATGTAAATCACAAGCCACACATCTTCAGAGCCTAAAAGTTGACGAAACTAATTTTCCATAGAGGTCGAGAAGTATCGAGATGAAAACGCAAAGTTTTTAACAGAATGAGTCTCTCATAGATTTTTCAAGGGACCACTTTCATGCCATTTGTGTAATAGGTACTGTTCATAAAGAGTCCACAAGGAATCACACGTTAAACGAAATCCTAGAAAGCAAGTCACTACGACCACAATTCAGTGGACACAGTTCTTGTAATAAGTGTTAGTAATCCTACGTCGTTTAAATATTGTCATTTATTTCCTTCCACAGAATATGTTGTATCACAACTAATAATGGTCGTGGCATGGTAGACAGTTATATATCACATTATGTCGAAGGTAATAAGTGTACCTTTTGTACAGAGCCAATCGAACTCCAGTAGCGAATCCAAATGTTTCGGTCACTAGTTCATACACCACACACCGCAAAGAATTTTCCTCTAGAGATAGAATCTGATAACGTTAAAGATTTTGGTACTTCTCTACTCTTCTTCTGGAATTCGTTGAAGCATGGCTATTCTGTAAGAAATTGGATGAGAATCAAAGTGATCTGATCCTCGTCCAGTTGATCAGTGTTTGACAACTGAAACGCTTTCACATAAATCAGTCCTCATATAATTTCGGTACCAGTGGTTCAAACATCAATGACGTAGAGGATGCAATTGTTCTTACCATTTCAATTGTAGTTTGACAAACTCGATAAATACGTTATCGTAACTACACAGGTATACCACGAATATTCTCTTGTAAAGTATCCATGACAGTATCAGCCAGTGTTAATACGCACGTTGAGGATCACTTCTACATATCCCTTAGTTTTATTCAAGTTGCCGTTTCTTTACTGGATGAATTTGGCAAACAAAAGGTATAGTTTCCTTTGAGGCACTTTAACCCTACAGTCTATCCCTGCACAAACAGTATTTGTTGATACATCAAGCATACCTTCACAAAAGGCTTCTCATAAGTGGTGTGATGTCCGCTGGTTGATCATACACATGCTATAGTAAATTAAGACAGTTTTTGTAATTCTGTTCCGGCTCTTTGCCGTCTGAAATTTCACAATTTATTTAAATCTTGAAATACGTACTTCGATATCCATTAGAAAGCAGTTAAAGGTCTGACAATTTGAACACTTTCAAATGACTCCAATCTCTAAATGCATTCAAATAACATGGGTAACATATATGTTGATGATTGATAGGATCAATTGTTTCTTCCGTTTCACTTGGATTTTGAAAAGCTCTCGGTAAATGTATTCTCTCAGCTCCGCAGGCAAACCATCAATGTTCTCTTGTTGTCGTTGTTGTTGTTATTGGGCTTAACGCCATTTTTCAGCACACGATAGGCTATTCATGGCGGCCAGTATTAATAGTGGAGGAAGAAACTGGAAAATCACCGGAAAGAACCACCGACCATCGAGAAGCTACTGGCAAACTTTCTCACATATCCACATTCGCCGAATCCTAGATTCGAACCCACGCAGACAGAGGTGAGATGGCAGTGATCCGTAACGGACAGCGCTTTAGACCACTAGTCCACTCGGGGCCCCTTCAATGTCCTCTTGTAAAGTAATCATCCTGAGCTTACAAGGGTCCCACTATAGGTAGGTAGTGATGGTGCGGAGACCATCGAGTATGTTCAAAGGAAGAGAAACCTTTCTGTTCCCACTGGTGAAGTGACACACCACAACTGAAGCACTTAATTTTATTCACCTCGCTCAAGTAGATAAATCCGGTTCTGGCTAATTTTTTGGTGTGTAGGACCTTGCATATATACTTACTTGCTCGTTATTAGCTGCTTGTTGAACAAACAATTTGTGTTTTGAACAATATGTTAGTCGCTTGTTTTCAAATAATCACTGTGAATATATGATGTGACTTCTCTCTATCCCTCACCATGACATGCGTTATCATAGCGTTCCGACTCAACAAAAACCGATTGTGAATGTTTTCTATAGCGTCCGCGTGTGAACCATATGCACTACGACCCTGTACTGGCACACTACGTAACACTTCCCTAAAAGAACTACAAGTGCTCACAGGAGAGCCACCACTACAATTACGACGCACAGAACTACTATTGAAATACGCAGCCAGAGTCAGCACACTCCCAGAACACAACCCTAGCAGACAGGCCTATCTTAAAAGTGGGGTAACATTCCGCCCAAAGTGGGTCAAAAACCCTCCAGCTTTCAACAGGGTTCAAAAAATACTAAAACAAACACCAAATCTAACCATACAAGCTGAACAAAGATTGTATCAGGATCCATACCCATGGCGGAATCCAACACCAAAAATCAACTTTCAACTAATGGGGGTGGGGAAGAAAAAAAGATAACCCGTGGAAGCTCTTAGCACACATACAAGAACTACTCAACACGCAGTACAAAAAACACACACAAAGAATACACGGACATCTCCAATTAATCACAAACAAACTCAACAGCAGCAGCGGTAGTCATCCCCTCCAAACATCACCGAATCAAGGCCAAACTCCCCGACGGGTGCTCAATATTCACTGCAGAACTTTGGGCCATTAACCAAGCTATTAACTGGACTTTAACACAAAACGACAAAGCATATCTCATTGTAACAGACTCTTTAAGCGCACTACAAACAAACAGATCAACAAAACCAACCAACAGAACTAATATGATAGAAAACACGCTATACAGCTGACGAAAATCATTAGAACAAGGGAGATATATAGAATTTCTATGGGTTCCATCCCACATACAACTCCAAGGCAATGATCTAGCTGATCAAATCGCAAATGAAGCACTTACAACCAATTACAGAGTAG